AATTCAACAAAGTTGCAAGTTCAACAATGTTGCAAATCGATTCTCGCAGAATTCAACAAAGTTATAAGAATCGATTTTTCGGATTTTGTCACATCTTGCCGAACTCTTGAGTTGCCACTTTGTTGCAGTTTTGAGTGGAGCAGTTGCAACATTGTTAAACCAGGAAATATCACAGAAATGAGGGGCAATTATAGGGAAACATACTAGGAAATTAAAGGAAAATATACCAGGAAATATACAAAGAAATGGAGGGAAATTAAAGGGAAAATTTTCACCGTCATTCATTATGTCATTCTTCAAGAGCTTTAGGAGATGCCAGGATATGTCAGGAATTATTAGGAGATGTTAAATGGTTATAGGAATTGTTAGATGGTGTTAGAAGGTATTAGGAGTTGTTAAAGGTTGTTAGGAGATATTAGAAGCTTTTGGGGGACGTTAGGAGATTTCAGCAGTTGTTAAAAGGTATTAGAAGGTGTCCAAAGATGAACGAAACGTTAGTGTTTTTCACCGATGACTACCGCGACCTGAACGATAAGTGTACAAAGTATTAGTTGTTATCAAGTAGGCGCAAGTATACCCCTGTTAAATATCAACCGAAGTTAGCCAGTTTGTAGGCCCGGTTGTAATATCGTTGGTGCAGAGGTGCCTCTGGTATAGAGCAACTGATAACTAACCCGTTTGTCGGTTCGGTTGTCATTTCGTAAGCGCAAAGCTGCCCCTGTTATGCGGCAACCTATGTATACTAGTCAGCTTGTCGGGGCGGTGGCCATCTCGTAGGCGCAGAGGTACCCCTGTTATGCGGCAACCTATGCTATCTGGTTTGTCGGGCTGGTTGTCAGCTCGTAGACGCAGTGCTGCCCCTTTCATGCGGTAACCGGTACTACTAGCCTGCTTGTCGGTTCGGTTATCATCGTGTAGACGCAGAGCTGCCCCTTTCACACGGCAACCTATGCTAGCAAGTTTGTCTATTCGGTTGCCATCTCGAAGGCGAAGAGACGTAAACCGAGAAATTTTAATATTCAACAAGGTTGCAATTAGAGTTTTACAGTTTACAAGTGTGTCGCTGATCCTTTCTCTGTCTCTGTTCATATTTTTATATAAATAGGTAGTATTATTTATGAAGTACATTAAAATAATAGTAAGGGGTTCATTAGTGACTATCAGGTATTGCCAAGGGGTCGTCAAGGATCATTGAGAGCTTTCAGGGGTTGTCAGGGATTGTCAGGAGCCATCAGGTGTAGAAATGTGTACCAAAACTGTGCAATGGCTCAGCATATTTTTTTTTTGTTACAGATACAGTATTATTTACATTTACATTGATCAATGTCGCAGTTGCATTTAATAATCAGTACTATTACATATATTAATGTCTTGATACAATGCAAATATCTATTAAAGGACTTCGTGTTCCTTCCAATGAAGGCATACCTGATCATTCGTTGTTTACGTTCTCGTTGCTCCGAAACATAGCGTGGAACCACGTGTGCGGTCGAAAATTAAACACGTAATAACCTGTGCCCCCAATGAATATCCGTCGCGTTTAGCCACACTCGTGCCTCCCATTTTTATAGCGTGCGGTGAACGCCAAGCTCGCCGCGCTCCTCGTTAGCTCAATTTTACGATCTAACTCCAAAAACTGTTATTTTTTCGTAATTCCGAGGCAATTACGGGGCGATATAGTCCCGATGCTCCAAAACCGTGGCGGTCATGGTAATTACATTGGCTGTAGCGTTTTATGGACTGCGACCACTACACGGCGGTCGGCGAATAACCCTCCAGCTCCCCTCCCGCGCACTGAAATCACCGAAATTGATTGTAATAACCGAGCGAAATTAGAAATGCCGTGGTATTACGGATAATTTGCGGGAAAAAGTTGCAAAAAGTATTACCTTGGCCCGTTGACTGTTCGCGTTACGAGCTGGCAAATGGGTTCTTAGGCTCCTAGATCCTTCTTTTTGTTTTGCTGTGCGGTGTCCTGTGTTTCGTATGCGATTTTTCACGTCTTTTTTCAACGATTAAAAGCAATTTAATGGTGATTTAGTTTGCAGTTTCGAAGTGTCTCGGAGCTAGAAGAATTCCAGCTGATTCGAGGAAGATGAGCATCTAGGAATACGATTTCTGAGTTTTTTGAGTGGGTCAAGTCCTGAAAAAGAAGTTGTTCCGTTTAGGCAAAGAGAAATACTTTAATTAAAGAGGAACTAATAACGAAGAATCACCTGTGGAATATCGTTGCAAAATAATGGTGAGTTCACGATGTTATGACATTCATAGTTAGACGATTCCTCACCCTTGTCATTGGATTGTATCGCATGGGACGAGCGTGCGAGAGTTGAGAGTGGTGTTACATGACTGGAACACGTGGTAGGCATAGGTTCACGGGGAAAGCCGAGAACATCCGACGCTCTAGCGACGAGGGAAACGCGCGATCCACGTGTGGAGAGCGTGCCACGCGTGGGTAGCAATGGTCGCTGGTGGGGGATGGTGTACAATGGTCATAAATGGAGGGGGAATCTCACAAAACGACCACTCTACTCCATACAATCACGTGGCGCCTTCTCATGAATCTCAGGAAAAGCTTCATGACCCATGCTTCATTTACCATGAGGAAACACTGCTGCAACTTTGTGGCATAAAGAATATGGCAACCTCGACTTACAAATTAAAAATTTGATTGTGTTTGTTTTCCTTATTGCGGTTAGTTATAAGAAGGATAATAATTATAAAATCAGCCAGTAAGAATAGAGATTAAGTATTTATGTAAAACGTTTAGAAGAGACAATGTAAAAAGAGAGCAGCACATTGTAGTGCGAAGTACTTCTACGAATGTACGCACTTTAATTTAATAAACAAACAAACAAACTTTGTGGCGACACCTTGTGAAGCTGATTTAACTATTTTCAGTCCTCTCGAGGAAGTTCTTGATCACGTGGTGTGATTCTTGATCATCAATTTCTCAAGATTTATTTTAGTTTTTGTAAAGGAACTCTGAGAATCTTGAAATCTCACGTTGCCATAAATTCTCACACTATATCAGTGTACTTCTCCCGCTCAAATGATACCATCACGTCACTCGAACCACCCTCCACACGATCCACACGCAGCCAACCCCTAAACCGCAACCCCTCCTGGACTAATTCAACATTTAAAATTGGCCCAACGCGTTTCGTCGTTAATACGATCGCAACGGGGCATTCCGTGGCCGCGTTGGCAGAAATAGTGAAAAAGAGCGTCCTCCAGGGACCGGCTGGTTCACAGAGGCGGCACGCAGCGCGCAAAACGACGTGGCCTTTTTTTCTTCCTCCCCGTCCAGTAAAAGTTAATTCGCGGTTTTTGCCGGTTCCTCGGTGCGGCTCGCTATGTGTCCGGCATTTTGATGAGCGGGAGCACGAGACCGGCGGGGAATCGCAATTTGAATTAGCCGCGAAAGCCGAGGCTAATGATTCCTAAAGAGCAAAACAGCGGGTTTGCGCGAGCCGGCGATATTCGTGGTTCCGCAAGAAAGCAGCTCGCCGCTATCCAAGGACCGTGAAAAGAGTGGAAGCGTCCGGCAACGAAATTCACTCAACGTTTCTTACCAGCGAGCTACGTTCGGGGACGTTCGAAACGCGATAAACGTCGTCACGTTAATGCTCCGAGTCGAGACTGCTACCCAAGAAGAAACTAATGAAAATGGTAACGTCCGTCGATAATCGCGTCAATTACCGCGGTTAATGTTATCGTTACGCTCGCGAGCCGAGCGTTCGCTCGTTAATGCAAAAATGCGGCTGCTCGGAGGGGACACTTCGGGGGACCATTACGCGTTCGTATTGGAACGTAATCGGCGGTGTACATTTGCTTGGAGACGATCGGACGTATCCCTCTTTCCCTCCTCCTCCTCCTCCTCTTACTGATACGGCCACACCATCCTCAATTAACTAATTGGGTTTAGTAAATTAGTATTGTATAAATACGCGTCCCGGCGGTAGCTGTATTTTTACAATCGGCGTACAAGCCGAGGCTAATTACACTTGTGCCTCTGTCGAGATAACCGACGTCGATTGAGATAGGAATCGGCGGGTCGATGTCGCCAAAGGTTTCTGACGACCCATGGCGCTCGCTGTTCTTCTTGCTACGCGTTGCCACTTTTCTTTTCGTTAAAAATGTCTCGAGACTTCGGTATTTCTTGATGTAGTAGACTAGAGCTACGTTTTTCTAGGTTTCTGATGCTATGCAA